CGGTGACAGCGAAGCTGCTCGACGAGTCGGCGGTAGCACGCTGCGTCCCTCCGACAGGCGTGACGACGCGCTCTTAAAAAACAAATTAAATAAAGTCTTTGCCTTCTAAAGGTTGTATACCAAGTATGCTTAAAGTATAAATAAGACACTTTTGTTTTTTTCCTTCTAATACTTAGTTCTCCTTCAAAGATGGAAGCTGTAATTGATTCTATTTATTGTTGGTTTGTGGTAGCTTGAAGCGTACCACTGTCCATTTATTTGTAACTGTAAAATACGTTTGTTAGTCTCAGCAGCACTTAAAAAGCCAGTGTCTGGTTACACATTTCAGTTTTGTGTTTTTTTCAGTAAGCAAGAGAAAAAGATGTACTGCCAGTGCAAGCTGTTTCCTATTTAATAAAAGGTACTATATTTGTACATTATTTGTTATTGCTGAGAAGGGCTTTTTAAGGTTTACTGTATGCATATTAAGTAATTTTTAGGGTGCTTTTGTGTTGAAACGTTGTTAAGAGAGGCTGCAGGCAGCAACCCAGATTTTTTTTTTTTTTCCTTTTTGTTTTTTTAAAGACTTTGTTGTAAAATTCAAGCACTTGGTTTTTGTTTCTGGATAAATCCAGCGCAGACCAGACTTTCGTTTTGCTCAGTACCAACAGGACTCTGTTGGTGTCCCCCGCAGTTTTTTGACTGGACCATTAGGGACAGACGTTGAGAAGGTTTCCTCCGCCCAGTCGAGGCGCGCGTGCCCAATCCGTGCCCTCGACTTCGCTGGCCGTGTGGGCAGCCCCCTGCCTCTGCCTCCTCCAGATAGGAAGGACAGGATTTTCTAAGGACGGATGGACGGACGGAGGAGCCCCTTGCCTTTCGGTAGACCCCCATGCTCCTGAACCCTTCCTGGTGCCTTCGGAAAGTCTCTCCCGGTACGTCGGGCTGGTCACGGAGGGAGTTGTGCAGCCTGAGGCAGAGATGCTCATCGAAGCTTTCGGAAAATGCTTTTGAGTTAAACGCTCTCGAATCAGGATTTCAGACCAAAAAAAGCCCAACGGGCACTCTGTAGTAAATCACATCAGATTATCTGACCTTTAGCGAGGTGCTTAGCATCGACCGAAAGGGGTTTTCTCAAAGGTACGACAGCCCTTTCCTTCGGTGAGTGGCAATCTGTGGCACCGGGCAGAGATTTAAACGTTAAAAAATGGCCTTTTTCTACTTCCCAGCTCTCTTGTCCTACCAAAGATTCACTTCAGGCACAACAGGCACGATGTCCCTTTTGCCGAACGGAGGATTAAATCCTCCTCTCCCTCCTCCTAAGGGGAACCGGATCGGGGTCAGCGGGTCGGGACGGAGGAGTGAAGCAGATTATTCGACCCACAGCATCACTCGCGTGGCGTTTATCGTTTCTCTGAAAAGACCGGCTGCTGTGTCTTTCTTAGCGTTGAACTTTTTCGCCAGCAGTCCCCCGAGCCAAGAGTGACTGGTTTCCACGGGTGCCACCTCGAGTGGGGAGGATTTTGCACTTTGAGGCTGAGCAAAGCTCAGCCCAGCGCCGGGCTGCACGCGGCCAACAAGCCATGAGCAAAAGCAATAATTAAAACCTGGATCAACCATGAGCTCCACGAAGCCCCATTCTCTGAACCCCGCAATTCCTTCTTGTTTTTAAATAGAACGCATTTCATTTTAACATTTTCTGAGAACTTTTTTAGATGTTTGTTTACTTCCATGTTTACAGATAACTCTTTGCTTTTTTTTTTTTAATGCAATACTTTTAAGTATATCAGCCAAAACCATACTTCTACAGTAACTTTTGTTTTAGGTAAGATGAGTGACATTCCAATTTTTTGTTGTTGTGTTTAAATATGCTTTACCAGTCTTGAACTTCCGCTGGAACAAAATATTTGTAGCATTTTGTGTAAATACAAGCTTTAATTTTTTATTTTTTCAAACGCTGTCACCCGAGATTTGCTTTTCATGCACATATTGTACAAACACACTCCGCTTGATGCCACAGACGATGATTGTGGACCAGTTTACTTCAACTTCAAAGGGACTATTTGTATTGTATGTTGCAACTGTAAATTGAATTGTTTGGCATTTTTCTCATGATTGTAATATTAATTTGAAGTTTGAATTTCATTTCCAATAAAATGGCTTTTTTTTTTGTTAATGTTCTTCTATGCTTCTTCTGCTGTCTCTTCTTAGCCGTGCACCAGGCAGGGTTGGGTAACGTGGCTACGTGGTAGGACGCGGTAGCAGCCCTTCCCTGGTGGCCCCATCGACTTCTGCAGTGCTTAAGTTTTTGAGTAAATAATAAGAAGCAACTTTCCAGGCCTGTGGGTGGTAAAGGACATCTAAATCCGATCACAAATGTTAATTCTGCTCCTGAGTCTTCAAACATCAAAACCTGTGTTTCTTAGAGGAGTGCAAACTGCTCCATTCATATTGCTAGATCGTTAACTCTGAAACCTAACAATGGACGTGAGCGAGGACATTCTGATGCTAGGGCACTGCGAGCAGAGCTTGAAGTAGAGGAAAAGCTGGGATAGATTTCCAAACCAGGGGGAAGGATTTGGTTTTATGGAGCTTTTCCAGGATGGGGGTTGTGCTCTCCTCACCCTTCCTGGTCAGACCTGAGGAATGCCTTTTTTTCATCACCTGAGGCGAGAATATTTCCCAAGCAGCAAAGATACTTGGATAGGGAGGAGACTGGGGGAGGAGGCGATTTTTCCTCCAGCCTAGTGTCAAGGGTAGGAGGAGATGCAGCTAATGAAAGTGAGGTGAGGTTCACCCAAGGCTGTCTGCAGGAGGAGAGGAGAGGAGAGGACAGAAGTTGTTTGCAAGCTTGTGCCTGGTTTCATAGTAAGTTCTTATCCTTT